AATAAGGGGAATAAGAAAATTGGAATCTATCTGTTTATTTGTACAAAATTAAACACCAGAAGGATAAACCAGGGGCTATTGATACTGGTTACCTACAAGACACTGGTGGGAATGAGGTGAAAAGTTTAGAAAAATTGTGGACTGGGGCAGGGGACTGACACTGTGCTGAGCATAGCTTTTTGAACAGTTCTGGTTTAGAGTATCATGTTAATATCTCATATACTTACAGAAAATAACTTAGATCAATAAGGATAGGGAATGCCGTAAGATGGAATACACACACACACAGATTAACAGAACAACATTCAGAACAGTTTGAAACGACCTAATTACCCAAGAAAAAAATTAACCCACTAACATTTGAACATAGTATTTTGAATGCTTTGTCTTCATGCTAAAGACAAAAAAGAACTTCAAACAAATATTTGGGATAGTCGAGTGGTGTGTTGGTTAGGAGTTGGCTTGGGACACCAGCTCTGAGCAGCAAGGCCCCAATTCAGATACCACATGAGGGCCGGTGACACTCCCCTCTACAGCAAAGATGGTGAACAACAGCTCGACCTGGAGCTGGGCTGCCATGAGTCACCGGCGACTGTGTAGGCTTCAGTGGGGCTGGCCAGCAGCAGGCGTAAGCTTTGTTGAGCTTTTGTGAGCTGCCGTGAGCCACCGTGAGCAGTTGTCCAACGGCCAGTGAGTGACTGCCTCCCCTGGGAAGAGTGCAATGATAATACCAACACGTGCAGTGCCATAATACTACCAGTGAAGTGATAACCTCCACAACTAGACTGAAGAACAAAAAGACAGCAACTTGTCTGTTCCCTTCCTCCAATTCCCAATACAATCTTTTTAAAAAACCAAATATTTAATTGTAGTTAGCAGGCTTCCTTTTCACAATGGTGTGGGTTAGCAATTCTGAAACAACTTTCTGAACATTCGAGGATTAAGTATATAAATAAATATATTGTGAATAGTGGGAACCAGGTTTCTCACTGTGTGAGAATAAAGTTAGTTATGGAAAGAACAGAATGAAACCTGTGGTGTAGATTAGCAATCCTATATTAAGAAAACTGTAAGACTGATCATGGTTTTAGATAGATAAATGGATAGAGATAGAAAGATAGACAGATAGATAGGTAGATAGATAGATAGATAGATAGATAAATAGATGTGTGTGTGTGTGTGTGTGTGTGTGTGTTTTCAGGGTTCCTTGGAGAAATGGCAAATATCAGGGCTAGGGCAGGGAAAGGATAAGTTTATAACATCTTGTCATTCTAGAAAGTCAAAAAGTGACCAAAGAGTGATTGGGACATATTAAAAGGATACAAGGGCCAGCTTGGAGAAGCTCCTACTCACTAAATCTCAGAGAATTTGATTATAAAAATAAATAGTGGAAGTAAAGGATTTCAACCTATTTTAAAAAACAAGAATCAAGAGTTCACATTGATATAAATAAATAAATGGAGGAAAGGGGAAAATTCTTCCTTATAGTAGAAATCCCACTAGTCAAAGTAAAAGAAATGGCATAATTAGAAAAATCGCCATTTGACCACCATCAGAATTATTGATTCAGGCAAGAATCACCAATGAATATTAAAACTAGGGAAGAAGGAGTTTGAGAAGCAACAAGGTATTTATATAGTCTTTCATATGTATATGAAAGTATCTTCTCACAAGATACTAATTACAAAGGGGAAAAGAGTATCTTTACAACAGAGAACTGTGACAGATGCCACCTTAACCAAGTGATCAAAATTAACACCAATAATGCGACAAATTTGACATAAATATGCCTCCTGATATGCTGAACTGAAAAGGGCAAAACATCACTTCTGTGGTCTTCTTGCCATGACAGCATAAACTGAATCAAATCAGGAGGAAATATCACATAATCCTGAATTGAAGGGCATTCTACAAAATAGCTGACCAGAATTTTCCAAAGATATCAGTATTATAAAACACAAAGAAAGACGCAGAGACTGTTCCAGACTACGGAAGATCGAAGAAACATGACAAATGACATGATCCAGGGTTTTCTTTTGTTCTAAAGGACATCAATGGGACAGCTAGAAAAATTTCAATGAAGTCTGTAGATTAGATAATAGCACTATACCAATGTCTATGTCCCTAATTGGAGAGATATACTGCAGTTATGTAAGAGAATTTTTAGGGATAAAGAGACATCATGTCTGCATATACTACCAAGTCAGAAAAAGTATTATAGGTATAGATATAGAGACAAGGATATATGGTAAAATATTAATATTTGGGGAATATAGATGAAGAGTATATGGGAATTCTTTGTACTATTCTTATAAACCTGTGAGTTCAAAATTATGTCAAAGTGAAATTTTTTTTCTGGTTGTCCTGAAAAGACCTTAGGAA